TATATAGTGTATATATATATTTTATATATATAGTGTATATATATTTTATATATATATAGTGTATATATATATTTTATATATATAGTATATATATATAGCATATATATATATTTTATATATATAGCATATATATATTTTATATATATAGCGTATATATATATTTTATATATATAGCGTATATCTATATATATTTTATATATATAGTGTATATATATATATACACACACAAAGAATATATATGTAGAATTCCTGTAATTTTACATTTAATTTATTGAGTAAACACCAAACTTTTCCCACAGCAGCTACAGCATTTTACATTTCCATAAACAATGTATGATAGTTCAAATTTCACTATATTCTTACAAGCACTTATTTTTCCTTTTTTAAAAAAAATACTGGCCAGGTGCAATGGCTCAGGCCTGTAATCCCAGCACTTTAGTAATTATATATGTGTATATATATATATATATATATATATATATATATGAATTATATATTTATTGCAGGAGATGTGGATTGTTGCAGAACAAACTACTGATACATGTTATGCACCTTGGTATGTTTTGTGTGTGTGTGTGTGTGTGTGTGTGTGTGTGTGTGTGTGTGTGTGTATGTAAAGAAAAATGTATATATATATTTTTTGGAGACAGAGCTTTGCTCTTGCCACCCAGGCTGGAGTGCAATGGCATGATCTTGACTCACTGCAATCTCCACCTCCAGGATTTAAGCAATTCTCCTGCCTTGGCCTCCCAAGTAGCTGGGATTACCAGCGCCCGCCACGAAGCCCAACTTATTTTTGTATTTTTAGTACAGATCAGGTTTCTCCATGTTGGCAGGTGGGTCTCGAACTCCTGACCTTGTGATCCTCCTGCCTTGGCCTCCCAAAGTGCTGGGATTACAGGCATGAGCCACCGTGTCCGGCCACACACATATGTCTTTTTAAAGACAAACTCTTGCACTGTTGCCCAGGCTGAAGTGCAACCTTCCCTTACTGCAATCTCCTTTTCTTGAGTTTAAGGGATTCTCGTGCCTCATCCTCCCATGTAGCTAGGATTACAGGTGCACACCACCACGCCCAGCTAAATTTTGTACTTTTTTTTTTTTTTTTTGAGACGGAGTTTCGCTCTTGTTACCCAGGCTGGAGTGCAATGGCACGATCTCGGCTCACCGCAACCTCCGCCTCCTGGGTTCAGGCAATTCTCCTGCCTCAGCCTCCTGAGTAGCTGGGATTATAGGCACGCACTACCATGTCCAGCTAATTTTTTGTATTTTTAGTAGAGACGGGGTTTCACCATGTTGACCAGGTTGGTCTCGATCTCTCGACCTCATGATCCACCCGCCTCGGCCTCCCAAAGTGCTGGGATTACAGGCTTGAGCCACCGCGCCCGGCCAATTTTGTACTTTTAGTAGAGGCAGAGTTTCACCATGTTGGCCAGGCTGGTCTTCAAATCCTGGCCTCAAGTGATCTGCCCACCTCAGCCTCCAAAAGGGCTGGGATTACAAGTGTGAGTCACCACACCTGGCCCACTTACATATATTGAGTATATACCTAAAATAATTGAAAATAAATGTTCAAACAAGGTCAAGACAGAAGAGCATTTAACCATATCACTGTAGAAAATGTTATTGAACAAGGCCAGGTGTGGTGGCTCAAGCCTGTAATCCCAGCACTTTGGGAGGCCGAGGCGGGTGGATCACGAGGTCGAGAGATCGAGACCATCCTGGTCAACATGGTGAAACTCTGTCTCTACTAAAAACACAAAAAATTAGCTGGGCATGGTGGCACATGCCTGTAATCCCAGCTACTCAGGAGGCTGAGGCAGGAGAATTGCTTGAACCCAGGAGGCAGAGGTTGCAGTGAGCCGAGATGGCGCCATTGCACTCCAGCCTGGGTAACAAGAGTGAAACTCCGTCTCAAAAAAAAAAAAATGTTATTGAACATTCTAAGGAATGTACTTAATTGTCCTTTTTGTGTCTTTTGGTTGAAAAAGAATAAACATTAAACTCAGCTCAGTATTTCCAAAGTGATAAGAAACAGTTTTACATATAGGGATACTTTGGGAAACCTTGTTTCGACCACTATCTTTATTTACATTCAGTGAGTGACAAGGCTCTGTAAAGACACAAGAGAATTAATTGGTCACTAGCAGGCAAGGCAGACATCAAGCACTGTAAGAAATCAGAGACTGACTTCAAAGAAAACTCAGCATTTATTGATAAGTTGTGTTATAATATTACCCCACCAATGGCTGGCCTTCATGCCATAAAAGTTGTACACAAAGTTTATGACAGCAGTATCACAATAGCCAAAAGGTAGAAACAATGCATGTCTGTCTACTGATGGATCAACAAAATGTAGTACATTCATACAATGGAATGGTATTCAGTTAGAAAAAGAAATATACAGCATGGATGAATATTCAAACCATTATGCTAAGTGAAAGGAGCCAACCATAGAAGGGCATATATTGTATGATTCCATTTATATAAAGTATCTAGAACAGGCAAATCCATAGAGACAGAAAGCAGATCAGTGGTTGCCATGGCTGGAGGAAGTAAAGAATGGAAAGCAACTTAATAAATACATGGGTATATTAGTTCATTTTCACACTGCTGTAAAGAACTGCCCAAGACTGTGTAATTTATAAAGAAGAGAGGTTTAATCAACTCACAGTTCCTCATAGCTAGGGAGGCCTCAGGAAACTTACAATCATGGCGGAAGGGGAAGCAAGTACATCTTACAGGGCAGCAGGAGGGAGAGAGGTGGGGGGGGTGGGGCAGAGAGAAAGGAGGAACTGTCAAACACTTATAAGATCATAAGATCTGGTGAGAACTTACTATCACAAAAACAGCAGCATAGGGGAAACTGCCCCCAGGATCCAATCACCTCCCACCAAGTCCCTCCCACAACATGGGGGATTATGGGGATTACAATTTGAGATGAGAATTAAGCGGGGACACAGAGCCAAACCGTATTAGTGGCTTTTTTGTTTTTGCTTTACTTGACCACTTTTTTGTTTTACTTTACTTAGAAAGTGTATGGGGCAGGAGTCTAAACCATACTCTGTGGGGGCAAAGTATATATATTTTTTCCCAAGTTTTAAAAAACAATCAGGCCAGGTGTGATGGCTTATGCTTGTAGTCTCACATATTCAGAAGGCTGAGGCAGGAGGCTGGCTTGAGCCTGTGAGATTGAGATTGCCGTGAGTTATGATTGGCCACTGTATTCCGGCCTGGGCGAAAGAGGAGACCCTGTCTCAAAAAAAAAAAAAAAAAAGGCTAGGTGTTGTGGCTCACACCTATAATACCAGCACTTTGGGAGGCTGAGGCAGGCGGGTCATGAGGTTAAGAGATCAAGACCATCCTGGCCAACATGGTGAAACTCCATCTCTACTAAAAATACAAAAATTAGCTGGGTATGGTGGCACACGCCTGTAATCCCAGCTACTTGGGAAGCTGAGGCAGAATTGCTGGAACCTGTGAGTCAGAGGCTGCAGTGAGCCAAGATTGCACCACTGCACTTCAGCTTGGGCAACAGAGCAAGACTGTCTCAAAAAAAAAATATATATATATATATATATATATATACACGAATCATTCTTATTTCCTTAGCTGTACAACTGGTAGCAGGACATATTTGGCCTGCAGGATATAACTGCTCTAAAAGAACTGCAATCTAAAATTTCATTTACTAGCTTTGTTATTACAATTTTAGTTTTATAGCAACTATCAAATTAATAAATTATTAATATAAATAGATAAATATTAATAACTTAATATGTTGATATTGATAGGAACCAAGATTTCTGTTAGAGAAAATAAGCATGAGTATAGAAGGCAAGAATAAAACACTGTGATGTTAAATTTAAATTAGGGAGCATGAATTTGTGCTTTGGGTCTCAAGTTTCTTGCCCTGCTTTAATAAAGGGAAAAAAGTGACTGATCTACAACCCAAGATATCTGACTCCCTAATTCTGGACTGTCTGATCTAGCCAAACTGCCGCTTTTATTTTTTCTTAATCTAGGTCTTCTCAAATCTTCTTCCGCTTCCTCCTCAAAATCCCTAAGAAACAAGTAAAGGCCACTCATCGGAATCTGGGGCAGAAGCAAATAAACTACTCTATGCCAGAAATCTCCTTTAAAATCTTAATCTAAAAGTTATGCTTATTTACATTCTCCCCAATAACAGGCCTGTGATTAAATACAAAATAAACACGTAATTTAAAAAAAAATCCTCTTTTCACCAAATCCTGTAGTCAAGCTGATGCTCTTGAGGATGCAACATTCCCCTCTCTGTTTTAGAGTTGAGGAGAGCGAGGCTCTCAGTCACTATCAATTATCCAGTCACTTCGTCACAGCCCCGTAAGCAAGCACACACCCACCACACAATCAGGGGCGTCATTTCTCAGACACACACTGACTCACATTCACGGTCTCCAGATAAGGTTGGAGAAGGAAAACAAACATTCCCCCAAACCGCGACACAGTAAGGTTTACCGTGGGTTATAGACGCGCTCACAGAAACGCAAGCGCACGCACTCAGTCAACCGGTGATCTCACAGGCGCCCGTGGCACTCTCAGTCCTAGGGAGCTCGACTTAATTCCAGTCACACAATCTCAGTCACAAACCTCATCCCGGTCACCCCCGGTTCCCCCGTGTCACACCGTCTCAAATCCCAACTAGCCACACTCAGTGAAAGAATCCCACCCAGGACCGCGCCAGGGACAGACTCGCAGGGCCGACCTCGCTCACAGAGCTCCCCAGTCGGTCCTATGGACAGGCAGTCGCCCTTTTTTTAATGCACCAGCCATCTGTCCCCGCTCCCCTCCAGGCCCTGCCGCGCCGTCCCCAGGTGCTAAGGGACTCGAAGCGTAACCTCGCTGGGACCGACCTGGCTCTGGCTCCAGCTCCGGGTTCCCTCAGAGCCCGGGGTGCATCAACGAGCAGTCGGCTGCGCCTGCGCACTCCGTGAAAGCGCTTGGCCCTCCCAGCAGCCCCCGCGCGCAGCCAGTTAGGGCCGGGGGATTGTACCGCGACCCGGTCGCGGCTCTCTCTGTTCCGCCGGGCATCGCCGCGGCTCGGGTTCGCGCCCCGAGAGAGCAGTCCTGGCCATCCGTAGAGAAAGCACTGCAGCCCAGCGGGTAAGGAGAGGGAAGGGGGGCCATTGCAGCACTGCACAGCGGCTGTAGCCGGCGCCTCAGGCCCGGGTATGTGTGTGGTGGGCTTGACTGGGCTGGGGCTGGGACGTGACCGCGACTGTGCGGCCAACTTGGGTGCAGAGCCTGCGGTGTGAGCGAAGGCCCTGGAGTGCGTGATTGACCCCAGCATCCTCTACCCTCTGGCCACACTGGGCCCAGCTGCAGATAAATGGCCCCTGGTCAGTTTCTGCGGCAGAAAGGACTCACAGCAGAAAGGCTCAGACTAGGCCGGACCAAATGGCTCACATCTGTAATCCCAGGGCTCTCGGTCAGCGAGGCGGGAGGATCGCTGGAAGCCAGGAGTTCGAGACCAGCCTGGGCACCAAAGCGAGACTCTCGTCTGTGCCAAAATTTAAAAAAATGAGCCAGGTGTGTGGCGCGCTCCTGTGGTCCCAGCTACTTGAAAGGCTGAGGCAAGTAGGATGGTTTGAGCCTAGGAGGAGTTCGAGGCTGCAGTGAACTATGATTGCACCACTGCACTCCAGCCTGGGCAACAGCGAAACAAGGCTCAGACCTGACCTTGGCCTAGGAATGTTATAACTGAACAAGCTCCCGCTCCCGCCCAGTCTGGCTCTTGGAGGGACCACCACACCACCTCCCTGCGGACCTGGACCCATGCACGTGCACTCACAGCTCTGAAGAGTCCAACTGCAGGTTTTAGAACACAGTGTTTCTTCCAGGAAGCTATTGTGAACTCCAATTCCAGCCCCGGGCATCAATGACCCTCGCCTTTCTTTTTTCTTTTATATATATTTTTCATATTGTTTGCTGAGAGACCCTGGCCTTTCTTTGATGCTGGGCAGAGTTAGCAACACCCTGTCTTATGTTACTCTAGTTATGTATGGGTGGGCAGTGGTGGCATTGTGCCCTATTTTAAAACCATGCGAGGTTGGGCTGCAAGAAAAGCCTGGTTCCCTTCTTAGCCAGTCCTGCCCGACTCTTTAAGAAAAGGAGTCTGAGGCCGGGTGCGGTGGCTCAAGCTTGTAATCCCAGCACTTTGGGAGGCCGAGGCGGGTGGATCACGAGGTCAAGAGATGGAGACCATCCTGGTCAACATGGTGAAACCCCGTCTCTACTAAAAGTACAAAAATTAGCTGGGCATGGTGGCACGTGCCTGTAATTCCAGCTACTCAGGAGGCTGAGGCAGGAGAATTGCTTGAACCCAGGAGGCGGAGGTTGCGGTGAGCCGAGATCGCGCCATTGCACTCCAGCCTGGGTAACAAGAGCGAAACTCCGTCTCAAAAAAAAAAAAGAATTTATACCTTCTAAGATTATGGGGCCATCGATTAAACAGTTACCTGGGAAAATTATCAAGTAAGATATCTCTTCAGAATTAGGTATTTATTTTCTAGTAGCCTAAGGGTACTGCTAAGGACAGATTTATATATGTATAACAGAAAAAAAAAAGTGGTAATAGCAATATTTAGACATACTGAACAGAAAAACTTGATTGACTTTTTAAAAATGTATTTAATATGATGTCTTATCAAAGCAAAATTCTTGTGCTGGTTTTATGATATGGAATGATGTCCCTTTGGAGCTACTAGGGATGGAAAGCAAGAGGGGCCTTGTTCTACTCTTTGATTTCTGTGAGTCCTTTTTAATAATATTAAGAAGAATTACATTTTCAAGCTTAGTTTTAACATTTATCAGTTAGTGTTTTAAGAGCAATGATGGAAAAATCTCAATAAATTTTTAGAGAAAGGGACTACTATTAAAATGGTTAAAGATAATTTATCAGCGAAGACCAAATTCTTAAATTGAAAATTATTGACGATAATTTTTAAAATAATGGAATGAGGGTTATCGAATGTTTTTCACTGAATTTAGTCCTTACAGTAAGCCACTTCAAGTGCTTTATGTATTATGTTCTTAACCTTCACAACCCTATAGGGTAGGTACTGTTATTATTCCCCAATTTGTCTCTGAGGAAACAGAGACACTAAAAATTAATGTGTCCAAATTCTCACAGTTAATAATTGTCAGAGCTCAAATACTAACAACAAAGCCTGTATTTTTTAATAAATCAGAGTCTGCCACCTCCCAACATTGTGCATGCCTGCCTGCCACACCTAGTAATTGATCATGAATATCTTCCTTCATTAACTAATATGGACCAATGTCATTAATAATTGCATAATAATCTATAATATAGTGGAATATCATTTATTCAACTTGTTGCCTACTGTTAGGTATTTGATTTTGGGTTGTCGTAAACTACTTTTTTTTTTTTTGTAAGTGGAGTTTTGCTCTGTCACCCCGTCTGGAGTGCAGTGACGCAATCTCGGCTCACTGTAACCTCTGCCTCTCAGATTCAAGGGATTCTCCTGCCTCAGCCTCCCAAGTAGTTGGGAATACAGGCACATGCCACCATACCCAGGTAATTTTTATATTATTAGCAGAGATGGAGTTTCATCATGTTGGCCAGGTTGATCTCGAACTGCTGACCTCAAGTGATCTGCCCACCTCGGCCTCACAAAGTGTTGGTTACAGGTATGAGCCACCATGCCCATCCAACAAATTATTCTTTGATGAGCTCTCTTGCAACACATCTTTGTATAATTTTACAAATATTTAATAATGATAAATTCCTAAAAGTGGAATTTCTAGGTTGAATTATGAGACATTTATAAAGTACTCAAAATATGCCAGATCTTGTGCCAGTCCTTGGGGGAAATACAGTGACCAAAATGACATGGTTGTTATCCTTAAGTTATTATTTATCAAGGTAGACAAGCCTATGAAAGAATAAGACTGAGATAGGTGAGGTAAAGGTCATTGAAGAAGTTAGATGGCATGGCTTGAGAGGTCATGGGAAGGAGACATCTGATTATAGCAGGCATTGTCAGGTTATGACGAAATGATAGCAAACTCATGGGGTTCCTATGGGGTAATGGATTTTATATGATAAGCATTTGCCTTACATGTTTTATCCTCATGATGTTGATGCAAACTGAGACGAACAGGACAAGAAAATTCAGCAGCTCCTAGGAGGGCCTCATGGCTAAAATAACTTTCAGAAGCAAAACAAATGCTTGGTCAAGAAGTCATGATAAATAGCAGCAGTGGAATAAGGCATTAGTTGAAGATGTTTAGCCATGTATGTTGGCAGAACTTCAACATACATGAACACACTTAGAAACCATAGAGTCGGTTCAGATTTTTGGATCTGTAATCAACAAAAGCAGTAAAAACATAGCAGCTGTTTTTAGGATAGTGTGTTTTTTTTCTCCAAGTTCAAGAGATGACTATTTTAAAAAAAGTATCTCTTTAACCTATGTGAAGAACGCTTTCCACTATACAAAGTTAAAATATATAATTCAAATATATATGTGGCCATGTAGAATTGTGAAATAAATGTAAGCAAAAAAAAAAAATCAAGATCACTATCTATTGATGCCTGTCAGTGCTTCTTTGTGCTGATTTCTATGTATGCTTTACAGATGTCCTCAGAGTGTTCATTTTATTTTTCTAAGAGGTTATATATCTTGAATATTTTATAGATCTTTGTATAGTTTCTAAAACTTAGCACTTACAGATTAATACACACGTATATTAGCTGGGTGTGGTGGCATGCACCTGTAATCCCAGCTACTCAGGAGGCTGAGGCAGGAGAATCGCTTGAACCTGGAAGGTGGAGGTTGTGGTGAGCCTAGATCGCCCCATTGCACTTAGCCTGGGCAACAGAGCAAAACTCCATCTTAAAAAAAAAAAAATCATACACATGTACATACTCTCTCTCTCTCTCTCTCTCTCTCTCTCTCTCTCTCTCTCTCTCTCTCACACACACACACACACACACACACACACACACACACGTTTTTGCTGTAACTGAACAGGATTATACTACCCACAACTGTTTGTTACTACATTCTTCACTCAACAAACTATGCTGAACGTATTTCCATGTTTCCAATTAAAGATCTACATCATCATTTTAAAATGGCAATAGTTTGTTTTACTCTGTTGATGCTTTGTGATTTATTTAACTAGTTTTCTATGGAAGGACATTTAGGTTCTTTCCAGCTTTATTTCATTATGAACAATGTTAACATACTCTTAACACATACCTTTGATCATATGTACAATTATTTTCTTTAATCCCCAAAGTAGAATTTCTGCTTTTTTTTTTTTTTTTTGAGACGGAGTTTCGCTCTCCTTACCCAGGCTGGAGTGCAATGGCGCAATCTCGGCTCACCGCAACCTCCGCCTCCTGAGTTCAGGCAATTCTCCTGCCTCAACCTCCTGAGTAGCTGGGATTACAGGCAGGCGCCACCATGCCCAGCTAATTTTTTGTATTTTTAGTAGAGACGGGGTTTCACCATGTTGACCAGGATGGTCTCGATCTCTTAACCTTGTGATCCACCCGCCTCGGCCTCCCAAAGTGCTGGGATTACAGGCTTGAGCCACCGCGCCCGGCCAAAGTAGAATTTCTGAATCAAAGAGTATGCATGATTTAAATGATGCTTGTACATACTTTAAAATCTACAGTCTGCAGTAAACTGCTAGAATGTTCATTTCCTCTCATGCTTGATAATATGGGCATTGGTACTCAGATGCCTGCTGGTAAGTTGTGTTATTTTTATTTTATTTTATTTTATTTTGGTGAAGCATGCATGCCAGTTTACACTCACTGGAATAAGAAATTTTGGGTTTCAGAGACAAAAGCTAGAGTTGAAGGAAAGCTGACTCTGTGGTTAGAAAAATCATTCCAAATGCAGCTTTGCTACTCATAAACTGCATTTCTGCAAGTGATTTTATTTCTCTTTCTGTGAATTTCTGATCCATTGTACGGATAGAATAATTATTGTGCTAAAGAGCAATCCTGAGGATATAGTAAATATATATAGAACACCCAAGGGCACAGTGGCTCATGCCTGAAATCCCAGCACTTTGGGAGGCTGAGACTGGCAGATCACAAGATCAGGAGATTGAGACCATCTCTACTAAAAATACAAAAAATTAGCCAGATATGGTGGCACATGCCTTTAGTCCCAGTTACTTGGGAGACTGAGGCAGGAAAATCACTTTAATCCGGGAGGCAGAGGTTACAGTGAGCCGAGATCGTGCCGCTGCACTCCAGCCTGGCCTACGGAGCAAGTCTCTCATCTCAAAAAAACAAAAAACAGAAAACAAAAAAACACTCAACATATGGGAACTCTTGATAGACATTTGTTATTGTCAAATGACCAAGAACATGAATCCATGCCTTTTCAGCCTAGGTTATAAGAAAGAGAATGGCAAATGAATTCCTTTCAGAAAACAGTGTGGATGATTCTGACTGGAAATAGAGAGTGATGAGCCCAGAGGGTTTTGGAAGTTGTTCTGACTGCAAGCAGGGCTGCCAGTGCAGCAATTTTATGGTGATAATGGCTTGGTCCTTATGAATTTCTCTCTTTGTGTCTGGTGAATCTAAACAGGCCTATGATACTTTGAAGAAGGAACACTGTAGTTTAGATGATAACAGCCCCTTTTCAACCCTGGAGTTAGCAAGGGTTGAGACCTGTGCAGACTCCCTCAAATCTCTCTCTCTCTCTGCCTATGTGTGTGTGCGCACACGTGTGTGTAGAGTGGGAGGCTGTGGTAGAGAGATTAAAAGAGAGGGGAAAGGTCTTAGTAACTCAAGTCATTTGGGGATTCCTGAGGTCCATCTGCTCTCATGGTCTTGTTTTCTTCCCCCTAGATTAGCCTCTGTGGACTCGGCGCTTCTCCCAGCAAGTAAACCTCAAGGAGGACTGACCAGTTTTTGAATTTCTATACCATGGCCCTTGTAAGTTTTATTTCTCCTTCTGGGAATACCAGCATGTTAAGGTCCTATGACCATTATTTTATCCTGAAACTTCCTATCAGAGCTCTATCCAAGAACCTTCTTCCAGTTCTTCCATATCCAGTGGCAGATGAACCATAAGGCTTGTCCTGTGAACACTATTCCAGTCATTGTTCTTGTATTTTGTTGAACAAATCATTCAGCGTCTCCTATATTGCTCAGTCTTCTGCTTTTAGCTAAAATGGAGTAAAAATGAAATATCTTAAAGTATTTGAACAGTCTTTGTGAGTTGATAAGAGAGGATGGGCCCATTTATCCACTCATAGGAAAACTGAACTTTTCCAGACTTGAGTTTTCCAAGTATGTAAGATAAGGGTTGTGGCTGGGCATGGTTGCTTACACCTGTAATCCTACCTATTCAGGAGGTTGACATGGGAGAATTGCTTGAGCCCAGGAGTTCGAGGCTGTAGTGAAGCTATGGATGTGCCACTGTACTCTAGCCGGGGTGACAGAGAGAGACCCTGTCTCTTAAAAAAAGTTAACAAAAAGCTAAGAGTTGCTGTTAGTTGGCCTCAGCCTCAGTATATGGTAAGATCTCATGCTCTGTGAGGCTTTTAGGACTGAGTAGGGGTGTGGCTAGGTCTTACATGCAGAGAGATCAGAGATCTTCTCTTAGAATTCCTGAGTTATACCCAGGAACAAGATTCCATTTTTGGTTGAACAGGATGTGCTGATCTAGAACGACATCTTTGCAATGCTGGATTATCCTGTATCAGTATCCTTTAACTCAGGAACAAGGCAGGCATATGGGAAGGGATGGAAAGTGATAGCATATGAGAAGATAATCAAGGTACATAGTAGTCACATTGACTCCCAGAAATGAGGAGAATCTTAAGATATTGTCCAACCAGAATATCTAAGTATAGAAGAATGATTAAATCTTACATATGCATTGTATAGCCTATTATCCAACCAATTTTTAACAGTCATAATTAGGAAAAATGCTTAAGATCTACTTCTAGGATAAACTTAGAAGACATTCTCTAATTGCATTTAGATCCTTTTCTAAGATAAAGATATTATAGGGAGGGAGACAAAAAAAAATCTTTTCTTTAAGGAGAAAGGGATGGAGGAACTCACCTTTCTTGGGAATTTATGAGGGAGACATAGTAGGCAAAGGCTTATATACAGTATTTCATTTAATTGGAAAACTGATTTTCTTTCCCAGACATGTCTGGATTAAGATTTGCCAGAGTGCATAACAGGCTATGTCTGTAGCAACAGGACCCTTCAGGAACCCAGGCATTTTGCTTCAGGCACACTCGTTTCCTGACTGGCTGTGTTGTAGGCTTCCAGCCCAAGCCTGTTTACTTGCCATATGGTTTACTTCCTGCAATATCTCTTCCCTCTTTTCTTCTTCTATCTTTTTTTGTTTGTTTGATTGTTTGAGATGGAGTCTCGCTGTTGTTGCCCAGGCTGGAGTGCAATGGCGTGATCTCGGCTCACTGCAACCTCTACCTCCCGGATTCAAGCGATTCTCCTGCCTTAGCCTCCCAAGTAGCTGGGAGTATAGGCGCCTGCCACCACACCTGGCTAATTTTGTATTTTTAGTAGAGGCAGGGTTTCTCCATGTTGGTCAGGCTGTTCTCAAACTCCTGACCTCAGGTGATCCCGCCTGCATTGGCCTCCCAAAGTGCTGGGATTACAGGTGTGAGCCACCACACCCATCTCTCCTTCTATCTTAAAATACATTTTCGGCCGGGCATGGTGGCTCAAGCCTGTAATCCCAGTACTTTGGGAGGCCGAGGCGGGTGGATCACGAGGTCAAGAGATCAAGACCATCCTGGTCAACATAGTGAAACCCCGTCTCTACTAAAAATACAAAAAATTAGCTGGGCATGGTGGCGCGTGCCTGTAATCCCAGCTACTCAGGAGGCTGAGGCAGGAGAATTGCCTGAACCCAGGAGGCGGAGGTTGCGGTGAGCCGAGATCGTGCCATTGCACTCCAGCCTGGGTAACAAGAGCAAAACTCCATCTCAAAAAAAACACAAAAAACAAAAAAAACATTTTCTTCCATTTCAGTTATAATATGTGGTTGTCATTTCAGCGATCAGTGATGTTCAGTGATATATCCATAGACTTCTCTCCAGAAGAGTGGGAATACCTGGACTTGGAACAGAAGAATTTGTACAGAGATGTGATGTTAGAGAACTACAGCAACTTGGTCTCACTGGGTAAGGTTATCTGCTTCTAGGAATTTAGACTGTGTTCTCTGTAACATCAGCTTTTTCCTCCGGAAATTTCAAGAGTACTTTTAGGAAACTAAATTTCTGCTCCACTTTCTAAAGGGAACACTTTGAGCTTTATTTCACTGGAAGTGAGCACCTTCATTAAGCACATTCACCTTCCTCATCCTTAAGTAGCCGTTGGGTCTTCCTTAATAATAAAGGGGCTGGGTTTGAGATCTTTGTTATTTGTAGCCTTACCAGTGTCAAAGAAAACAAGATTTTCACTTTGTGTTTGAATTCAGAATTGCTTTAGATGTTTTGTTACTTGTTGGTATATTACTTGTTACTTGTAAGGGAAATAGCTAGATCCTGTTTATTGAATTTTCTCTATCAAGAGAATACATATGATTTATCTAGTGGTAAAATGGATGATTTATTTACAATTCAAGAGAACTCATTCCTTTCATTAATAAACATACTCAGTTTTACCTATTTTACGATTGAAAATTAAAAATCCAAGAATTTTGCTCATGTGTTTTATTGTACAGCAAGATGACTATAGTAATTGTATACTGTATATTTCAAAACAGCTACAAGGGAGTGTTTTTAAAGTCCTCACCACAAAGAAAAGAAATGATAGATCCTTGAGGTGATGAATATGCTAATTACCCTGATTTGCTCATTTCACAATAAAATCTATCAAAACATCATATTGTAGCCTATAAATATATACAATTATTAGTCGAAAGACAAAATAACTATTAGTGAGTATATGGAGAAACTGGAACCCTCATACATTGCCAGTGGGAATGTAAGATGGCATAGATGTGATCCTATAATTCTTCTCCTAAATGTCTACTCAAGAGAAATAAAAACATGTGTCTATACAAAGATGTATAAGTATTCACAGTAGTATTATTCACAACGTCTAAATAAATGGATAAATGAAATGTGGCAGTCATACAATAGAATATTGTTCATGGAAGAAACAAACTACTGATGCATGTTATAGCATGCAAGAATATCAAAAACACTATGCTAAGTGAAAGAAGCCAGATGCAAAAGGTTACATATTGTATGATTCTATTTATATGAAATGTCCAGAAAAGGGAAATCTGTAGAGGCAAAAAGAAGATCAATGTTTGTCTAGGGCCAGGAGTAGGAATGAAGATTGACTGCCAGTAACCAGCAGGGATGGTTGGGGGATGATGAAAATATTCCAAGTTTGGATTGTAGTGATGTTTGCACAGCTCTGTAAATTTACTAAAAATCATAGAATTGTACATTTAAAACAGGTAGATTTTATGTTAGTTAAATTATATTGCAATAAGGCTGTTACAATCCAGTAACTTGGCCAGGTGAGGTGGCTCACATCCGTAATCCTACCACTTTGGGAGGCTGAGGTGGATAATGAGGTTAGGAGTTCGTCTGGCCAACAGAGAGAAACCTTGTCTCTACTGAAAAAATTCAAAAAATTAACCAGGTGTGGTGGTGTGCGCCTGTAATCCCAGCTACTTGGGAGGCTGAGGCAGGAGAATCGCTTGAACCCAGGAGACAGAGGTTGCAGTGAGTTGGGGGTGAACCACTGCACTCTAGCCTGGAGTGACGGTGTGAGACTCTTATCTCAAAAAAATAATAATAATAATACAAGAACTTTACATTTAATTTAACATTGTTTGAATATCCAAGTCATAATAATACATGTCCCAGGAAACTTCTTATATTTTCTCTCACCAAATAACAATAACCAATAGCTAATGAAATATAGTGTTTGGTATATACTCTAGGCAGTGTGTAGATACAGACACACTAATATAATCTTAATACTCTTGTAAGATAGGTACTGTGATTATCTCTATTTTATCGGGAAGGAAAAAGGTAGCATAGAAGTAACTTGCCCAAGGTCACACAACTAGGATGTGGCTCAGGCAGGATTTGCACTTGACAGTCTCTGATCTCAACCACTATTGCCTCTGAAGAAGAAACACTTCTGTCAAAATAGATTTTAAGAAGATTTTTTTTTTTTTTTTTTTTTTTTTTGAGACGGAGTTTCGCTCTTGTTACCCAGGCTGGAGTGCAATGGCGCGATCTCGGCTCACTGCAACCTCCGCCTCCTGGGTTCAGGCAATTCTCCTGCCTCAGCCTCCTAAGTAGCTGGGATTACAGGCACGTGCCACCATGCCCAGCTAATTTTTTGTATTTTTAGTAGAGACGGGGTTTCACCATGTTGACCAGGATGGTCTCGATCTCTTGACCTCGTGATCCACCCACCTCGGCCTCCCAAAGTGCTGGGATTACAGGCTTGAGCCACCGCGCCCGGCCTAAGAAGATTTTTTATTTCCTCTCTAATCTCTAATGTGTAACCTTAATGTAAATGTTCTTAAAACATCTTTCCCTTCTTTGTTTTGCCTTATCAATTACTGTTTTTTTTTCTTTCTCTCAATTACTGTTTTGCTATATACTTTAACCAAGATTGAATCAAAGTAATTTTAAATTTATTTTTTATTTCAATGTACCTTATATATTTTTTCTTCTGAGCAGGATGCTTCATTTCTAAACCAGTTGTGATTTCCTTATTGGAGCAAGGAAAAGAGCCTTGGAAAGTTGTGAGGAAGAGAAGACAATATCCAGGTGAGGGCCAGTCAGGCAGGAAGAAGCTGTCACCACAGGGAACCCGAGATTGTTGGGGAAGAGGCATATCCTTATGTTGTTTAGAAAGCCCTCTTTAAAGGTCTGTGGACCAAGGAGGAAAGGTCTGCAACCTGGGGAACAAATTAAGGTCTTGGCTGGGGATACTAAAAGAACCACTTATTTGTCCCATTCACCGCTCATCTTTTTTATTATTTTTCTCTCCAGTTTTCCTCCTCTTTGATGGAGCTGTGGGGTAGGGTGGTGCTCTTTTTGGTTCACTGTTGACAACCATTGTATATTTTGATTCAGCTGTTTTTCTCTTTTGCATTTTATTTTATTTTTGAGACAAAGTTTCACTCTTGTCACCCAGGCTGGAGTGCAGTGGCGCAATCTTGGCTCACTGCAACCTCCACCTCCCGAGTTCAAACAATTCTCCTTCCTCAGCCTCCCGAGTAGCTGGGATTACAGTTGTTCACTACCACAGCTGGCCAATTTTGTGTATTTTTAGTAGGGACAGGTTTCACCATGTTGGCCAGGCTGGTCTCGAACTGACCTCAGGTGATCCACCGGCCTTGGCCTGCCAAAGTGCTGGGATTACAGGTGTGAGCCACCATGCCCGGCTTCCACTTTTATTTTTATTTATTTATTTATTTATTTATTTGAGACTGAGTTTTGTTCTTGTTACCCAGGCTGGAGTGCAATGACGCATTCTCGGCTCACCGCAACCTCCGCCTCCTGGGTTCAAGCAATTCTCCTGCCTTAGCCTCCCGAGTAGCTGGGACTACAGGCATGCGCCACCATGCCCAGCTAATTTTTGTATTTTTAGTAGAAACGGGGTCTCACCATGTTAACCAGGATGGTCTCGATTCTCTTGACCTCGTGATCCATCCACCTCGGCCTCCCAAAGTGTTGTATTTATTTTTAAAGTAGAATAGGAACCAAGCTTGAATAGAGATGAGGTTTCACCATGGTAGCTAGACTGGTCTCGCTCTCCTGACCTTGTGATCCCCCGACCTCGGCCTCCCAAAGTGCTGGGATGACAGGCATGAGCGTGCCCAGCCTTGAGTAAGACTTTTAATGATGTTTTTCACTTTTATTGCTGGGTTTTAGTTTTTAAAGTTTCTTCTAAGCACTATGGTTATGTTTTATAGATACTTATGTGGAGGTTTTCAAAATATAGACTTTTTTTTTTTTTTTTTTTTTGAAGCAGAGTTTTGCTCTTGTTACCCAGGCTGGAGTGCAATGGCGCGATCTCGGCTCACCGCAACCTCCGCCTCCTGGGTTCAGGCAATTCTCCTGCCTCAGCCTCCTCAGTAGCTGGGATTACAGGCACGTGCCACCATGCCCAGCTAATTTTTTGTATTTTTAGTAGAGACGGGGTTTCACCATGTTGACCAGGATGGTCTTGATCTCTCAACCTCGTGATCCACCCGCCTCGGCCTCCCAAAGTGCTGGGATTACAGGCTTGAGCCACCGCGCCCGGCCGACTTTTTTTTTTTTTTTTAAGAAACAGGGTCTTGCTCTGTCACCCAGGCTGGAGTGCAGTGGCATACACACACTGCCTGCAAACTTGACCTCCTGGGTTCAAGCAGTCCTCCTACCTCAGTCTCCCACGTAGCTGGTACTATAACACATACCACCATACCCAGCTAATTTTTTAATTTGTTTTTTGTAGAAATGAGGTCTTGCCATGTTGCTCTGGCTGGTCTCGAACTCTTGGGCTGAGGAAATCCTCCTGCCTTGGCCTCCTAAAGTGCTGGGATTACAGGTGTGAGCCACTGTACTCAGCCTACCATTATTTTCTAAAAAACAAAAATACAGCCAGGGACCCTGGCTCATGTGTATAATCCCAGATGACTTAAAATGTTTACTTAATCACCAATCTTGCTATTTTGTATGAACTCTCATTTTTCCTGATGTTTTCTTTTGCTGTTTTTCTTTTCAGATTGTATACCAATATTTTAGAGTTTGATTGAGGATTACTTAAGTTGTCTTTTATTTCTACGTTAGAAATGTTGCTTCTAGCCGGGCGCGGTGGCTCAAGCCTGTAATCCCAGCACTTTGGGAGGCCGAGGCGGGTGGATCACGAGGTCGAGAGATCGAGACCATCCTGGTCAACATAGTGAAACCCCGTCTCTACTAAAAAATACAAAAAACTAGCTGGGCGTGGTGGCGCGTGCCTGTAATCCCAGCTACTTAGGAGGCTGAGGCAGGAGAATTGCCTGAGCCCAGGAGGCGGAGGTTGCGGTGAGCCGAGATCGCGCCATTGCACTCCAGCCTGGGTAACAAGAGCGAAACTCCGTCTCAAAAAAAAAAAAAAGAAATGTTGCTTCTTTTAGTAAAAGAAAACAGCATGTGTTTGCTTTCTTGTCTTATTTTAGATTTGGAGACCAAGTATGAGGCCAAGAAGTTGTCTTTAGAAAATGACATTTATGAAATAAATTTATCACAGTGGAAGATAATGGAAAGAATTAAAAAACATGGCCTTAAGGGTCTCATTTTAAAAAATGATTGGGAATCCAAAGAAAAAATGGAAGGACAAGAGAGACCTCTAGAAAGATACTTCAGTAATGTGAAAATGGCATCTGAAAAAGTATCCTCTTACCAGAAACGCACGTCTGCTACTCCACATCAGAGACTTCATTTTGTCGATAAACCCTATGAATGTAAGGAATGTGGAAAGGCGTTCAGAGTGCGCCAACAGCTTACTTTTCATCACAGAATTCATACTGGTGAAAAACCCTATGAATGTAAGGAATGTGGGATGGCCTTCAGACAGACTGCACACCTTACCCGACATAAGAGACTTCATTCTGGTGAAAAACTCTACCAATGTAAGGAATGTGAGGAAGGTTTCATATGTGGTGCCGATCTCAGAGTACATCAGAAAATGCATATTGGTGAGAAGCCCTATGAATGTAAAGAATGTGGGAAGGCTTTTAGGGTACGAGGACAACTTACTCTGCATCAGAGGATTCATACTGGTGAGAAACCCTATGTCTGTACAGAGTGTGGGAAGGCCTTTAGACAGTATGCACACCTGACTCGGCATCAGAAGCTTAACAGTGCTGACAGGCTCTACGAATGTAAAGAATGTGGGAAGGCCTTTTTGTGTGGCTCTGGTCTGAGAGTACATCACAAACTTCATACTGGTGAGAAACCCTATGAATGTAAGGAATGCGGGAAGGCCTTTAGAGTGCGACAACAACTAACACTCCATCAGAGAATTCATACCGGGGAGAAACCCTATGAATGTAAGGAATGTGGAAAGACCTTTAGTCGTGGTTATCATCTTATTCTCCATCACAGAATTCATACTGGTGAAAAACCTTATGAATGTAAGGAATGCTGGAAGGCCTTTAGTCGTTACTCACAACTTATTTCACATCAGAGTATTCATATTGGAATTAAGCCCTATGACTGTAAGGAATGCGGGAAGGCCTTTAGACTACTTTCACAACTCACACAGCATCAGAGTATTCATATTGGTGAGAAACCCTATAAATGTAAGGAATGTGGGAAGGCCTTTAGATTGCGCCAAAAACTTACTCTACATCAGAGCATTCATACTGGCGAAAAACCCTTTGAGTGTAAGGAATGTAGGAAGTCCTTTAGACTTAATTCATCCCTTATTCAGCATCTGAGAATTCATTCTGGTGAGAAACCCTATGAATGTAAGGAATGTAAGAAGGCCTTTAGGCAACATTCACACCTTACCCATCATTTGAAAATTCATAATGTAAAAATATAAGAAAGTCTTTTCAACTTCTGTGTTACAGAACATTCTATGAATGTAGTAATTAATCTCTTTTGCTCCCTACATGCAACTGATTTGGCATAAGAGGTTTTATACCATTAGAAGAATATGATAATATAATGTATTCCATCATCACCCAAACCTGAAACTTCAGCACATTTGTTCTAAAAAGTAATTCTGTTATAAGAAATGTGAGAAAGACACTTAACTGTCATCCCTATTCCATCACTACTTTGTGTCGTCCTGGACAAGATGCTTAACTGCTCTGTGCTATAATAGTTTTAATTTATGAAATGGTCATATAAGAGTGCAGCAATTTGATACTCTTTTGATCAAGAGGTGAATTTATATCCCCTCTGTTGTATATAGGCAGACTGTGACTGCTTCGCCCAGTAGAATATGGTAGATGTAGTGCTGTGCTCGTTTCTTGACTCAGACTTTACTATACTAGTAGAGTTACTACTTCATCTCATGAAATGAGAGAACTGTCATGTTCCAAAGTCTGGCTGCTTTCCTGAAGAGACCACATGGAGAGGCCCTGACACTGCATAGAGAGGGAGAGGCATCCTGCTGAACCCTGTCTTCTTGACATCCACCAAGACACTAGAGATTGGAGTAAAATTTTGGATCCACCAGACCAGCCACCAGCTAAATGCCACTGAGTGACTTGGTGACCTCAACTGATGCCATGTAGAATGGAAGAATTGACTGACTAGCTGAGTCCCTGCCCAAATTTCTGACCCACAAAAACATGAGATATGATAAAATGGTTGTTGTTTTAAGCCACTAAACTTTTAAAAATTATCTTTACTTCTTTTTGGATAATTCATACTAAAGGCTTTGGGCATAATGAATTTAAAAATGCCTTCCACCAACATTTACTTCTCATTGAACTTGAGATATCTTATTCTTGTTAAAATATTGAAAGTAAGAAATTCGGCCGGGCGCGGTGGCTCAAGCCTGTAATCCCAGCACTTTGGGAGGCCAAGGCGGGTGGATCACTAGGTCAAAAGATCGAGACCATCCTGGTCAACATGGTGAAACTCTGTCTCTACTAAAAATACAAAAAAATTAGCTGGGCATGATGGCGCATGCCTGTAATCCCAGCTACTCAGGAGGCTGAGGCAGGAGAATTGCCTGAACCCAGGAGGCGGAGGTTGTGGTGAGCCGAGGATCACGCCATTGCACTCCAGCCTGGGTAACAAAAGTGAAACTCTGTCTCAAAAAAAAAAAAAAAAAAAAAAAGAAAGTAAGAAATTCCTTTTCAATTTCTTCATTAAAAAACAGATATCCTAGAACAGGTGAGGTAGCCTATGCCTGTAAATCCGGCATGCTGGGAGGCCAAGTAAGGAGGATTGCTTGAGGCCAGAAGTTCAAGACTAGCCTGGACAACATCATGAGTCCCTCTACCAAAAAAGTTTAAAAATTACCTGGGCATGGTGGTGCATGCCTATAGTCCTAGCTACTCAGGAGGCTGAGGTGAGAGGATCGCTTGAACCCAAGAGTTGAGGCTGCAGTGAGCTATGATTGCACCACTGCACTCCAACTTGAGTGACAAATCAAGACCCTGTCTCCAAAAAAAAAAAAAATCTACAGTCAGCATTCTCTGGCCCTGGTCAATATCAAAAATTGACAAAAAATAACATGAAATTATTTGGAAATGAAAAATCCCCTGTATTATAAAACTCTATTAATTTTTTAAAAATCTGTAGCTTTTTAAAAATGCTAAATTGAGCCGGGCGCGGTGGCTCAAGCCTGTAATCCCAGCACTTTGGGAGGCTGAGGCGGGTGGATCATGAGGTCGAGAGATCGAGACCATCCTGGTCAACATGGTGAAACCCCGTCTCTACTAAAAATACAAAAAATTAGCTGGGCATGGTGGCTCGTGCCTTTAATTCCAGCTACTCAGGAGGCTGAGGCAGGAGAATTGCCTGAACCCAGGAGGCGGAGGTTGTGGTGAGCCGAGATCGCGCCATTGCACTCCAGCCTGGGTAACAAGAATGAAACTCCGTCTCAAAAAAAAAAACAAAAAAAAAACAAACTATATTTCAAGACAACCAAAAGTTAGTGAAGGAAAGTTGTTTATTATTAGAGAATTCCAACTGGTTAAAAGGTCAAAGGAATAATTGAATTTGAAAATTACACTTTTTAATTTTACAAAATAATGGATTTTGGTGATGATAGTAGTGGATGCCAAGACCATTAGGTGAAAAATGGATAGGAAGCTTATACTGTATGAAGCAGAATGCCAGGACACTAATCCATATTAACAATTTCTAAGTAAGAACAGCCAAATGCACCTGATGTGATGTAATGGATGCACACAGTGGATACCTGTGAAGTTTTCTTGGTCCCCTAAATTCATTGAGAAGTACAGGTTAGTCTACAAACCTAATTACCGGTTTACAGGAAACATGGGAAATGAACAAATTAATGACACAAACAAACAAATGCACAATTCAGGAAATTCTGCAGAAGTGATGGCCTAGTTTTTTTAACCAATACATGTCAAAAAAAAAAAAAAAGATAAAAGTGGAATCCTACATATTAAAGGAGACTTAAGAGACGTATCTATCAAATACAGTGTATGGAACATTTTAGGATCCTCGTGTTAAAATGTGCTTGGGATTTGTTTTAATCAATCATGGTGAGACAGGCAGACATAGAAATGATTGTCATGAAGGAATAAGTTTATACTCAGATCCTAGAAACAGGAGGTGTGGCATGCCACGTTAGAGTCACGTAAAGAGGTGCCCGGGTGTTGTATCAGGATGGAGAAGGGGTGAGGGCAGAGCATTGGGGGTTTTCCTGGGAAGGAATGGATAAGGCAGGGGTAGGCACGCTGGTAAGTTTAGGATTGGATTGTTTGAGTAATTTTGTTGGGCTGTGGACTCTAGGGGTGATTCCTAGTTGTCGCGTTAGGATAGGGGGAATATTGACTTGGCGTATGAGAGTTTGATAAAGGAGATAGTTGGGAGTATTTGTCTTGTTCACCACTCTATTCACATACATATAATACCTATCACATAACTGGTGTGATGGGAAAAAATAAGGATTAACTTAAGCCAGAAATTTTTTAAATGTAAGATGAATAACAGGAAGTAGTTTTATGATAAATTAATGGAATAGTTAATAAAATAATAGACTAAGGATATTCTCTTTCAAAAGAACATTAATATAGATTGGCAGTTATTGAGGGAAAAACATGACTCATAGCTTTATGTATGGAAAAGGTGAAATAGCTACATAAGGAGATTTTTAAAAATATTTAAGTTACATATTACTGTATACGTGTATTTCAATGTTTCAGTATTGCTATATACATATATTTCAATATGTTTCAGTCTAGAGAAACCTAAATGATAAAAGTTGACTACAGATACAAAAAAAAAAAAAAAAAAAACACTGAACTAATCCATAAATAAAGGGGGAAAAGTACAGTTATGATGTTGTTTTTTAAAAACTACAATCCAGGCCAGGCGCGGTGGCTCAAGCCTGTAATCCTAGCACTTTGGGAGGCCAAGGTGGGTGGATCACGAGGTCAAGAGATCGAGACCATCCTGGTCAACATGGTGAAACCCCGTCTCTACTAAAAATACAAAAAATTAGCTGGGCATGGTGGTGCGTGCCTGTAATCCCAGCTACTCAGGAGGCTGAGGCAGGAGAGTTGCCTGAACCCAGGAGGCGGAGGTTGCGGTGAGTCAAGATCGCGCCATTGCACTCCAGCCTGGGTAACAAGAGCGAAACTCCGTCTCAAAAAATAAAAAAGAAAGAAAAACTATAATCCATAGTTTTACAGGCAGTAAAAAGCTTTAAAGAATATAGAACTTGCTGGGCACGGTGGCTCACGCCCGTAATCCCAACACTTCGGGAGGCTGAGGTGAGTGGATCACAAGTTCAGGAGTTCAAGACCAGCCTGGACAACATGGTGAAACCCTGCCTTTGTTAAAAATACAAAAACTAGCTGGGCATGGTGGCGTGTGCCTGTAATCCCAGCTACTCAGGAAGCTGAGGCAGGAGAAGTCTTTGAACCAGGACCAGGGAGGCAGAGGTTGCAGTGAGCCGAGATCATGCCACTACACTCCAGCCTGAGCTACAGAGCAAGACTGTCTAAAAACAAAAAAGAATATATAACCTGTAACAAAATTTTACTAGACCATTTTATAAGGCAAATATCCCAACATAAAATTAGAGGAGGATAAATACCCCCTAAAAAGCAAAATGTGGGCCAATTTTACTTAAGATACATGTAAACATTCACAAAAAAGTATCAGTAAATTGGACTCAGTAGTCTTAAAACAATTATAAAACATAAAATGATTTACTAGGAATACCCTGGGGCCTGGCCTGTTTTCATTTAAATATGTATCCAGATTTTAGGTTTTCTGACTTGAACAATGCAACAGTGTTATAAAAAATGACATGATTCCATCACAGTATCTTTTTTTCTTTTTCAGATGGTAACCAGACTGGAGTGAAGAGGCGCTATCTCGCTATCTTCGCTCACTGCAACCTCCAACTCCTGGGTTCAAGTGATTCTCCTGCCTCAACCTCCCAAGTAATCAGGATTACAGGTGCATGCCACAATGCCCAGATAATTTTTTACATTTTTAGTAGAGACGGAGTTTCACCATTGTTGGCCACGATGGTCTCTATCTCCTGACCTCATGATCTGGACACCTCAGCCTCCGAAAGACCTGGGATTACAGGCATGAGCCACTGTGCCTGGCCTCGAAGTATCTTTTAGATCGTTTTCTATTATTCTCATTTATCTTAGCTTCACTGGCTTTACAAAAGGAATGAAGAATACATATACAAATAGGAATTCAACACAAAAATTATTACCTTTTTGCTTAGTCTATTTTGTGAAGATACTGGCTTGGCTTGATGACTCACGCCTGTAATTCCAGCACATTGGGAGGCTGAGGTGGCTGGATTGCTTGAGGTTAGGAGTTTGAGACTAAACTGGCCAAGATGGTGAAACTCTTTCTCTACTAACAATACTAAATTAGCCAGGCAGTGGTGGTGCATGCCTGTAATCCCAGCTACTTGGGAGGCTGATGCAGGAGAATCACTTGAACCTGGGAGGCAGAGGTTGCAGTGAGCTGAGATTGCACCATTGCACTTCAGCCTGGGCAACAGGAGCAAACCTCCATCTCAAGAAAACAAACAAACAAAAAAACACCACGGACTGGGTAATTTACAATGAACAGCAGAAATTGGCTCACAGTCCTGTAGGATAGGAATTGCAAGACTAGGAGGCTGGCATCTCATAAGGAACTTCTTGCTACATCATCTTATGGCAGAAAGGCAGAGAGGGCAAGAGGGAGCCCAACTCATCTTTTGATAATGAACCCACTCCTGTGATAATGGCATTAATCCATTCATGAAAGCAGAGTCCTCATAGCCCAATCACTTCTTAAAGGTTCCACCTGTTAATACTATTGAATTGGGTATCAAGTTTCTCCCTAAAACTTCGGGGCAAATTCACACTATAGCATGTCTTCTCTGGCCTCCCAAATTGATGTTCTTCTCACATGTAAAATACATTCACTCCCCTCTGCCGCACAGTCTTAACTCTTTCCAGCACAAACTCAAAGTTCGTTCTCATCTAGATCAGGTATGGTGAAACAAGGCATGATTTATCCTGAGGCAAATTTTCCTCCAGCTGTTAGTCTATGAAATCAAGCAAGATTTTTACTCCCAAAACACAACGGTGGGACAGGCAAAGCCTAGATATTCCTATTCTGAAAGAAATCAGGAAGAAAAAAGGGATAACTGGTGCCA